GAAAGGGGAAGCAGCAAAGTAGTATCATTTGAGCTCCTAGGGTGCCAGCATCACGTGGAGAGATTTTGCTCTGCCCAGTCAGCACAGCCCACTGAGGAAGGTGTTTTTAACACACGCTGAGACCCACGGGTCAGAAAGAGTAGCCCACTGTCAGGTCTCACAGCCAACAAGTGGCAGAGTCCGGAAAAAACAGCAAAGAAAACAACGATTAATCCTGGAATCATCTCCTACACAATGTCCGTGTGAGTATTTCGGCACAGCCAACAAGAGTCCACCCGCAGGACTGAAGAGGAACTATGGAAGTCACACAAAATGCACAGACTCCTTGTTTGTGCTTTTCCCCCTTTAATACACTAAGTCCTACAGGTCAGCGTTCATTCTGCTCGCTGGGCACAGGCTGTTGGACAGGTTGCACGGATACAGGACTTGGCTGAGAACAATCGCTCAGCTCAACCAGGGCCCCCCAGCAGCTCTCCTTCCTGACCCCAGCCTCACCTCCGCCCCTGGGGAGTGGAGAGCCCCTCCTGCCTGCTCACGCATGCTGGGCCCCCTACAAACACCCGTCACACTGTGTTTCCCTTGCTCCCTGTGCCCCTCCTGCTCTGAGGGCAGGGAGAACACTGTTCATTTCATTCTAAAATTTGAGCCCATATAGAATAGAACCCAAGTTCCTATCTTTTGTGCTGTTTCAGGTGATAGTCACACTTTTTAAAATGACAAAAAATACAAAATCATCTTCCCTCCTAGAATAGCTGGGCACTTTCTACTTTGCATGGATTGCTAAGAAAAGCCCTTCTTGATAGGCAGGCACCCATTTATTTGTTGGTGTCAGTGAAATTAGGCAAACATGTCTGCCAGGAGTGCTGGTCAAGCCCTACAGTTATGCAGCATGGTTTCTGTTTATAATGTTTCATTGTCGAGATGGGACCTGCACCAGACCAGATGCGCCTTCAACTGGGTACCCACTGAGCGAGATCCCTCTATCATCAGGACGACCATATACCCCAGTTTGCCTAGAACGATTCCGGTTTATGCCTGTTGTCCCAGAATAATGATTAATAGTGCCCCCTTTCATTCCCAAAAGAGTCTGAATAATCAATTACATGGTCACTCTATCTATAATTATCTTCACCGACGACATCCTGCTACTCGCGAGGTAGAGAGCGTAATTATTCCTGCACTGTTGTGACTCTTAAAGCTGACTGAGGGTTAAGACCTACAATAACATCTGGAATGTGAGAAACACCACATGGTGAAGCAAACTGCTTTCATGCCAAGCTCCCCGTAGATTTAGGGACAACACACTGCAACTTAATTAGAAGATGGAAGAGGAGCCAGGGTCCTACTGCCGAAGAGGGTCAGGAGAGACAGAAGGGACTATTAGGTCAGGGAGTTAATCTTTGCAAATTTCCTGCAGACTAGAGATTCTTGGCTTCTAACGTGGCTACTGTACGGTAATTCTCGAGGGCTGAGGGTGGAGGTGGGGAGCAGTAGTTGGTGGATGGAGAAGACATCAAAATCTAAACAGAGGTGAGGTCTCTATAACTAGAAAAGGCATATTCAATATAACATTACATATAATTTTACATTTGAAGAACAAAAATACCCATTGTTTCCTTAAACCAAGGAAAGTAAAGTTTATCCAAAACCTCTCTTCTCAAGGCTATACAGAGATTTGCAAATTGGGGCTCATCTCTCAAAGGCTGAAATTGATCAGAATCTTGAGGGAGATGAGGGACAGGATGATATTTGTTTTCAAAATTTTTATGGTAAAATACATACAACCAAAAGAATATATAAAACCCATAAATACATATTTTTTTAAATAATAAGATGAAAAAAGGTTTGCCCACTATCGAGCTCGAGAACTAAAATCATGCCTTCCAATTCCCCTCCCCAGTGGTATTTTCTCCCTCCCCTACTTCCAAAAGGTGACCTCAATTCTAAAACTGTGTTAACCTCTGCCTTACAGCTTGTCACCTAGGCACGCATCCCAAAACAATATGTTGTTACGTGTTAGCTGATTTTGAACTTTTTATCAACGGAATTATAATGTAGGCACTCTATGATTTGATTCTGTTGCTCAAAAAAGTATGTTTTTGAGATTCATCCATGTTAATCCTCGTAGCTTTAATTAACTTTTATTGTTGTGTAGTAATTCATCATAAAAAATATATTAAAATTGGTCAACTCTGCTTTTGATGAATATTTGGATAGTTTGGAGGTTTAGGGGCTTATCAATAGTGCTTTCTGTGAGTGTTCTTATAAATTTCCCTTGGGCATGAATGCAAGACTTTCTCTAGGGTACATGTGAAGGAATGTAATTCCTGGTTATAGGTCTTGTGCATGTGCAACTTTGCTAAGAAATGCAAAACTCTCGACCAAAACTGCTGAGTCAAATAATACTCCTACCTCCACAGATTCAAGTTGTGCTGTTTCATATCCTTTCCAATCACTATTATTTGTAGGCTCATTTTCTCCCTACCTGGTAGAAGTAAAATCATACCATGGTTTTAATTTGCATTTCTTTGATTATATTGAGATTATGCTTTTAAAGTTTCATTGTTAGCATATTAATTTTTTACCTTCTGTGAGATATCTCTTATTTTTTATTATATTTCTATTAAGATGGCCCTTTCTCATTGATTGGTAGGAAGGTCCTTATATATTCTAGATAATAATCCTTCACTATTTACATGATTTGGAAATATTTTCTCTCACTTTATGAGATGATTTCTACTTTATGGTAATTTTGATTACTATAAATTCTTAATTATAAGTCAATCCAATTTAGCAGTAGTTTCCTTTATGATTGTGAATTTTTAAAGTAAGAATCCCTCACTACACTGGACTCATAAAGACATTCTCTTACATGTTTTTCTGCCATATATGTGTGTGTGTATACATATATATGTATATTTTCCTTTGGCATTTAAATATTTAATCCAAGTTAAAATGATTTTTTGTATGTTGGAGTATGAGTAATACTTCAATAATTCCATTTTCCCCAATATGGTCTTTCAATAGCCTCAACAGCATTTACTGAAAAGTCCATTCCTTACCCACTGTTCTGCAATATTAGCTCTGTCATAATTGGACGTTTCTGTTTCTGGATGCATTGTTATGCTACGTTGGCCTATTAGTATAACCTGCATTAATTCCACACTGCCTCACAGCTTTACAGTTAGACCTGGCATTTGGTAGAGCAAGTTCTCAGGAGTGACTATTTTTTTACTCTTCCATGTAAATTTTAGAATCAGATCATCAAGGACCATGAAAAGCCCTGTCTGGATTTTTTTATTGGAATAGCATTAAAATCTATAATCTTTACTATTTTGAGTTTTCTCAGTCAAGAACATGTTCTCTTTCCCCACTAATTTAAATTTTATGCATTTCTACATAAAAGGCTTACACATATTTTGTGAGATTTCCCCTGTAGGCATTTTATATTTTTATTGCTATTTTAAGTGCTATCTTTAGTGTTAAAATTTCTAACTTCCAATTGCTATGGCAGAGACATAAAATTCACTTGTGCATATATTGGTTTGGTGCCAAGCAAACCTGTTAACTCTTAATGATTAAAATAGTTTATGTGTATTTTATCTGTAATTTGGGTGGGGAGTTTCCTATATAGACAATCATAATATCTGCAAATAATGACAATTTTGTATCTTCCTTTCTAATCCACATGCATTTTATATCTTTTCTTTTTCTACTACTGGCTGATACATTCTATAAAATAAAATTTAAAAAATTAAATAGGAGTGGTTTCCCTTGAGAGTGATGTAGACTAGGAGGTCCCAACCTTCATCCCCCATAGAAACAGCATTTTGACAACTACTTATGAATTGAAATAGCTCTGAGAGATGCCGCAAAAATCCCATTCAGCACAACTGAGGATGGCTGCATAGAAACTTGTAGGAAGCATTTTACCTGCACAGCTTGTTGCCAAGAGGGAATCCCTGGACCACAATTTCCCTTCATGAAGAAAAGATCAGGGGAATCCCAGCAGCCTCTGCCACCAGCACAGACATCCATAGCCCCTGCCACCCAGGATCCCCGCAGTCTTTTCATGTTTTTACAACAACAGGCACACAGACAGCCGTGACACCTACTGGTCCCCACTGCTGGGTGACATTAACCTATGGCTGACTCTGACCCAAAATCTAGAAGTTGCCCGCTCCCACACTTAACCATTAAAAATATTACATATTCTGCTGCATGTCCTAAAAAAAGGCTAGAAATAATAAATAATACATCCTCTGCAGCCTTTGGCATTTCACAAAAGAAAAACCATGAACCATTTCCCCTGTACTGACCGAGAGGCATTTCAAAACCAGCAAACACACTGTTGTTTAAATGAATAGGTCTTGCAACTGTATTTTTAACTTGAAACGGGTGAAGTCTCTTTTAATTCTTGCATACGAAAACCTTACTTTTAAAATATGTATATATATATCTTTATTGATTTCAGAGAGAGGAAGGGAGAGGGAGAGAGAGAGAGAGAAACATCAATGATGAGCTGCATCATTGATGGGCTGCCTCCTGCACGCCCCCTGCTGGGGATGGACCCTGCAACCCGGGCATGTGCCCTGATGGGGAATCAAACCTTGATCTCCTGGGTCCTAGGTCGATGCTCAACCGCTGAGCCACACCCGGCCAGGCTGAAAACAATACATTTTAATTGTAATAAAGTGTGAATCCCTTTTTAACCTGTATTTTTAAAAGGTATCACCCGCTGGGGTCATGAAGAAGATGTTACTGTACTCCCTTCCTTAAAATGTTTTCACACACAATACAAGAAAACTTACCTCTTACTTTTGGCCTAATAGAGTAAACCATATGAAAGTTCTGTGGATTCTTTTACTTATAAAACAATCCCATTTGGGTCTTACCATGGAGTAGCAGCGTTTTCAGTTCCTTTCCATTTCTTTCCTTTGAAAAGAATATGTAGAAAAATCACCTAAATAAGCTTCTGATTATAAATCAAATCCAAGATATTGTTTGACAATGAGATGTTTTATTAAACTTGATACATGTGCTGTATAAGAATTCTGTGAAAAATAATGGGTATCAAATTATTTTGGATCTAGGTCTCTGCGTTATAAAGTCTGTCCCCGAAAGATGTCATCTCACCGTATCCCGTGGCTGGACCAATGTACAGAGGACCAAGCCGCAGCAACATCCTTTCCTGCTGAGAAGTTTCAAAGGACTTGCCCGTGGTGCTACGAGTCCTCCTAGCAAAATAAAAAGTCCCGGTCCCCATCTCTACACAGTGTCCCCTCCAGACAGGTGAGCTAGATGGAGCGCCTGGGCCAGCCCTACATCTGTGCCGGGCACGGGGTCCTCACAGCATCAGTCTGGGGAAAGCCATCTTCCCCTCAACCGGACACCTCTACGTGAGCTACTCCGAGACTCCTTGGAGGGGTGAGACTTCTAGAAAGAGAGTAAGAGAGGAAAAGGTCTGAATGTTGAAAGGAGCACACAAGTGATCGAACTGGGCTGCAGCAAAGCTGAGGGGAAGCAGCAAGAAGCTGGGAAAGCAAGCGGCTTTGTGAAACGTCCTCTGCTATGACGAGGCTGGCCCGTGCGGCTGGAGGCCAGGACCTGTCACCTGCGAAGGCCACCCATTCTCTTACCAGGCAGGGGCATCTCTGCAATGAGGTGCTTGTGGCTGCTGAACAGTTCAGCGGAGTCTTGTTCTACTGATCTTTCTTCTAGGTCTGACTCTGGGATCGGAGCACAGCCACCTGGTGGAAAAATACAATGTTTTAAGCAACGTACTGGAAAACCTGCCTCTTCACGTGACAATCACAGGTTAAAAAAATGTACCAATCAGCCTGGCCGGTGTTGGGCATGTCCCATGCTGATCCTTTATGAGGTCAGGGAAGACAAAGCCTACAGAACATGTGATATCCATACGGGAACAGCAGGAATCCCCTTTATACCAGAGCATCGGAAACTACAAAAACAAAGCCAGCTGATCGTGAGGGAAATAAGCCTTCCTGGAGCAATGAGGAAGGCTGCGGGTGACCGTGGGCTATTTCTCTGGAATTAGATTCTATCCCTCAATCCCTGCACTTCCCAGCTCAGATCCAGACACCTCATAATTCAGCAGCAAAGCCAGGAGCCGCACTGTGGGAGCTTTCAATTCCGAGTCAACTCCCAGGGGCTGGAGTATGAGCTGGCACTACAGTGGGCATAACTCACCTGATTTCACCCACCGGAACCTTGCATGGGAAACTCAGGTGAGGATTTCCTGGCGGCGTCTACAACTTGATTTTACCATCTGCCACCATTTCCTGGACACACACTAACATGCTGTACACTGCACAGGTTTTTTCCCCAAGCCATTCTTGTTAATGAAGTGTGATTTTTTCCTGAGGTTTCTCATACACCGAGTCCAAAGCCTCCACACTCAAGTTGGACTTTACAGTGAGGGGGTTTATGCAGAAAGACGGGGGATCGATAGCATTGATTTGTAAAAAACATAATTCAAGTGGGAGGGAAATGGCAGGACCCCAGGTCTCAGGAAAATACACCTTACCATTCATCCCTCCGTGTCATCTCTGAAAAAGAAATGGATGCCGAGGAAAACTGGAAAGAATCACGTTTCCACGCGCATAAAATAAGAATTAGTTGTAGCCTCAGGGGCTCCTGGCAGGAAGTGTTAGAATCACCCATCAGGCAATGACTGCAATAGCCCAGCTGTCCCTGCAAATGGCAAGGGCCCATCCAGAGGAGCCAGGCTTGTTTGTGTTTTTTAAATTGAATTTATTGGTTCACAAAACCATACAGATTTTACCAGGCTTATTTTTCATCTCTTTCCCAAGCCCAAAGATGATGGTAACAATAACTATCATTATTAGGCACTTTCTAAATGCTAGAAACTCTGCCCACGCTTTCTCATTTAGTTCCTACAAACCACACCATGAAATAGGTGCTGCTATTCTCAGTTTACAGAGAAGAAAACGAAGCTCCCACAAGTTCAGTGACTTGTGGCAGTAGCTGCCATGCCTCCTCCGGCTGGTCTTGGGGTGACGGAGTCTGAGACTTCCCTTGTTTCTGAGGGCCTGGCCGGTTCTGAGTGCTGGCAGGGGTATGTTCAGAATGCCCTTCGACTGAAATTTGTCTGGTGTTTTTTCTCATGATTAGACTGTGGGGAAATTTTAACAGTTTCTTTTCATAAATTCTGAGGGTCCCCACTGTTTTAGGACTGTCTCCAGGTGCTCCTCCTCTATCAAAAGGGAAAGCCAAGTGGGCAACGACTGGAGAGGCCACTACAGGGGAAGGAGATCACCGGCGAAGCTCAACGGCTGCGCAGTTCCCGGTTGTGGCCCAGGCTGGATCTGGCTGCAGGACCCAGGGCGGGTTACCAGTTGCCCCATCTGTAAAATGGGGGTCTGAGGCCTTTCATCTGTAAAATGGGGTCTTACTGAGGCCTTTCATAAGGATTGCAAGACCATGGGCATCCAGCACAAGGCTTAGCATACGGTACATTGGACCCTCTCCGCCTTTATACATTTTCTCAGCATAGGTGCACTTTCCGCACCATTTCTATGGGATCCAAGAACTTCAGCTTTTAGTTTAAGTTCCTTCATTTAGTAGATAGCAAAACAGGGGCTCGTAAAGGGTAGCTGATGGCCCTAAAGTCCCAGAGCTAGTGCCTGGTTCTCCGGCTTCCCAAACCAGTAGAGCTTTCTCAAGAACACACCTCTTTTTCCAGAAAAATCTCAGTGGATTCGCTTGTACTGATTAGTACTTCCTTTCAATGATACAGAAAATCCAGAGGGTTGGCAAGCTATTCTTCGGGCATATTTTAGAACTTTGCTGATTTCTTTTCCTGCCACAGTGACCTTGGCAATCAACTGGGCGCCTGGGTACAAATCCTTTCCTCGGGAAGGAGAAATCGGTTCTTTTCTCTTCATGTATTTGAGAGGAATGAAGCCAGGAGAACTGAGAACCAGGGACAGGGAGGGCCGCAGCCCTTGCTCGGACTTGCCAACCCAAGAGTCTTGGGCTCACGGGCCTGAACTGCCACTGAGAATTAGAAACAGCAGAAACCTCAAAACCTACACCAGTGATCCTTTTAATCAGGACTTACTTGATGGATAAAGTGTTTTTTGAGGTTAACATTCAGACTCCATTTCAAAGGTTTCTAGTTCATGTGAAGTGTGGGGAATGGGTGCTTTGAAAAGAATATTTCACCGTCTTAAACACGAAGGACTTCCCCAAGAGACTATGAGTAGTTAAAAAGTTCCTGTAAATACAGTCATTTGAAAAAGTTTTCTTATGCTCTGTCTCTCCCTCCCCCCGTCTCCCTCCCTTCCCCTCCCCTCGCCCCAGTCAACAGCTTTCCTCCCCTCCTCCACGCTGACCTCACTGACGGTAGCTCATCCCTAGCGACAGAGATAATAGTGCTCAACCACGGAGACGCAGGTGAAGGTCACTGTGATGGTGTCCAACGGGACGCCCTGTGAAATGTTCGGGAGCTCGGCTCCACTGCCTGGAAACGAACCTTGATCCCCACACCCCCCCACGGCGAGCACTCAAAATGTGTTCAAGACTCTGCACGCACCTACGTTTGAAAATGTTTCCATCTCACACCTCGCCGCAGAGACCAAGTGTGTGACTAAAAGGGAGTCTAATATATTTTAAGAGGTCTAGCATGTGTCGCAACAAGTCTTAAACTCCCCATAAAGGCTGAATACTAAGTCCCCTGGGGGGAGGGCTCCAGCCGGAGAGTCTGGATTTCAGCGAGCAGGGTGCTCCTGGCATGGAGATGTTCCCGCAGCTCGGACGATGGTAGGTGTCCACGCACTCTGAACTGGACCACGCTTGGAACTTAGGTCCACTTGGTTCAGAGGATTAAGAAACACAGGGACGTAGCTGTTTGCATCCTCTGATAATTATGTAAACAGAATTGAGCGAGCACGAAGAGAGTCCTATTTACAGAAAGCAAGCGCAGTCCATAAATCCAACAGGCTGGACTGGGTCCAGGGTAAGAATTTCTCCAGATGTCCGTCTGTAAACAGGGCTTCATAAAGCGAATTCCCCAATTAATTGCTGGCAAGAGTGATCCGTCCGCAGTGTCAGTGCACGACCCCCTACCATATGTAGGTGAGCTATCGTCCGGCCCCAGGGAGGGTTAACCACTTACGATGCAACAAAACTCGGAGGGGGAGCTGGGTCGGCACAGCTTCGTTTGATGCGGAGAGAAGGTACCGGAAAATTTTGCTCAGGAACTCAAAGCGTGGTTCACTGAAGGGAATGAGGACCAACCTATCTGTCTGCATTACATCTGTTTTTCTGACACATTCAGTTTTAACCTGGAGCTCTTAGAAAGGCACACCCAGGAAGAACAGAAACACAGAACTTAAAGAAGAAACAGTACTAGTCACTATTTGGTTAGAGTCTCTCATCACAATTGTCCCACCTGTTAGCAAGGCCATTAAGTCTTCCAAACAGACACAGAAGTGTGGGCAGCCGTGGAGGGAAGGCGGGGAAGCAGGGAAAGTTAACACTCGCTTTTCCCTGCCAGTCGGTCCACGTCTGGAGCAAAATGCGAGATCTACTGCCTTTGACCAGCTCTTTTCAAGGCTGGTCAGTACAGTGTCTTCTTTTCAAAGAGAAGCTGGTGTGGTTTTTAATTCCCATTTTGTTCCTCAGTCCTAAGGAAATCCAATGTATAACTGGAAAGAGACAATTTTAAGACATTTCCATTTGAAATACTTTCCAACTCCCTCTTCAGAGACCAGCTCTCTCTCAAAAGCACACACATACAAATAAAACATTACAGCTACAGCTGAGAAAGAAGGGAAGCCAATCGCCCTGAAATAATCATTTCCAAGAAAAAAATGAAATCGTAAGAACATAACTCTCCTTTGCCCGGACTCTATACAATGAGAGAGCCGGTGTTTGTCACGGCCTCCCTCTCGCGTGGAGCGGCTATTAATTCCCCAACGGTCCTGGCAACATGTCTTCAACTCGAGTTTCTTCCCACAACCCAACTGGAAGCCATCATCTCAACCAAACTGCGCTGTTTTCGGTAATGACAGTGTCTAGGTGGTGATTATGAAACCGGGAGTTCAGCTGGGTGACTCTGGTTATAACCGGGTTGAGGGGAAAGAGGGAACACAGCCATCCGGAGAGATCCTGCCTCAGCATCTTCTCTCACGTGTGACGAGAAACCTCAATAAATACCCAGGGCTTATTTTAAAGCAACTCTTACATTACCTAATGATATATTTCCAGAATAGCACATTGAACAATGTCACATTTGGAAGAAAAGGGAAATGTACACAAGATGATAAACTAGCCCACTGATCACAGGACATCCTGAAAGGGGGCAGGCGTGGCGAGTATCACTGTGTCCTAAGCAAAGTCACGGAAGCCTGGGCGTTAGTTTCCTTTCCTCTACAAAGCAGAACATGCAGCGTTTACTTTATGAGAGATGAAGGTGAAATGAGCTAATGCTAGCACTATGGTTATCACAGAGTAAGCCCCCCATAAACATTAGCTATTATTTTCAGCACTAACCCCAACACGAGTTAGTCATTACAGTTACAGCCACGAGGCCACACGCCCCGAGGACAGCATAAATTTCTATTTGACACCCTAAAAACACGCTCTGGTAAAGCTGAGGACAGGGTGAGCAGACCAGCGGTAGGATGTTTCCTGCAAAACCCAAACTGTCAACGGGGCATTAAAATAACCCACTTGAAAAGTGTGTGCATGTTCAAGATGAAAT